TATGCCTCATAAGAAAATTCGAATCCAACCAGATCTCAACAAGTACAGGGTATCTAAAACCAACCAACATAATATACTTGAACACTTGGGCTGTCTATTTGTCAGTAAAATTGAGCAACTACGTTTGCCCTTTTGGTAAGCAACGCCCACAAACTGACACTAGCCTACAAATACACACGCACACACGCACACACACACACACACACACAATCACACACATAGCTACACCCACACACACAAACGAGTAGCAACAAGAAATCACAACAATGCCAACTCGAAACAAACATGAAGCACTTTTGGCAGCGTTTGTTTCGAAAACAGCTACTGAAACATTGAAAGACAGAAAAGGAGTAGGGGCAAGGGAGCATGGGGGCACGGGCTGTAAGAGGTAAACGGGTGCAGAAAATAGAAGTTAGCAGCTAACGTGAAATCTGTATTATAAAGTAAAAACCAATATGGAAACCGACATAAACGTTGGCCAGGCAAATTGCATGCAGTTAAGTGAGCTTGAGCGGAAGAGGAACGAAAGGCAAATACTCTGACAGACAGAGACAGAAAGCACAGAGCAAATGAAACGGAATCCAATGAAATTCTAAAGGAAGTTGGCAAGAAAGGGAGTTGCTAGAGAAAGCTAATAACATGAAATGTGCTACATCCACACACATACTGATATGTGTTCACTTATTACATATTTTAGGGAACATTGAAGATATATCCTGTAAATATTTCCTTAATTTTTTAATCGCTCTATTATTATGCGTGCTTGCCTTTGTATTCATTTCTACATCAATTTGTCCCAATATCCACCTCTGTCTCTCTCTATCTATTCTGTATCTGTATCTATATCTGGGTATCTGTATCCGTATCTGGGTATCTGAATCTGTATATGTACCGAACCTGTGTATCTTTATCTGTTTCTGTGTATCTGTATCTGGGTATCTGTATCTGGGTATCTATGTATCTATGTATCTATGAATCTTTGTATCTACGTATCTTTGTATCTATGTATCTATTTATCAATGTATCTTTATATCTATGTATCTATGTATCTATGTATATATGTAGATATGTATCTATTTATCAATGTATCTTTGTATCTATGTAGCTATGTATTTATCATATCTACATATACATATCTTTCTCTATTTCTTACTCAGTCTCTACCCCATATAGAGCATTCATACTTCGCTCAGCTAAGCTCAGCAACCGCAATATATATATTTATATATCTTTGCCGTCTGTTGGGTCTATTGTTAAAATACGTTATTTATAAGTTGTAGTCGCAGCTCTTGGCTGAGTTGGTTGCTTTAACATTTGACCAGGATTACTTCGATTGGCATGGCATTTTGAA